ATAGGAAATGTGTCACAAATTGTCAATTGTAAAAATTACAGCAATGCTTCGCTTTGCAGAATGACGCGCCCCTTGAATTCGCAATTCTGTTCTTCACAATTTCCCTTTTTTCGGGTTTATTGACATTCCCTCTATCGCGCTCCTTGAGTGTCGCTCGCCGCTGAGATAATTAGACGCGAGAAAGGGAGAAAAAGTGTCGTTGCATTTCTGAGAATGCCGATATCTTCATGTGGCGACTGAGGCGGAGAAAAAATGGCCGGAAATGCAAATAGGGAGTCTTAATGTTGTACCATTAAAAGAGTTTTCAGGGGGGATTTTGGGTGTCTAAAAATACTCTCCCTCGCGGACGATAAATCGGCCTGACTATCGAGTGGAAGTGATTTATGGGGCGGTGTGAGAAAGCCCCTCCCGGAAGAGGCTGAGAATTCTTGGCGGGAAATTCTTGTAGATTAGCTTCGGAGGTTCACACACCCAAATGGGACGTTTATCAATAGCATCCGGCAACTGGAAAGTTACACACATTCTGATGGTGATATCGAAGTGAGAAATATGCATTTCCCTTTAGCGGGAATTTTTGGTCGAAAATCCAAAAAATAAATATAGTATTTTCTTTTCAGAAAGGAATAATTCACATTGTGTGTGTGTATTTTGTGTACGATTACAGATTATTTAACTTTGTGACGCGCGGCTTTGTTTATTTTAAAATGCAAAAAGTCAGAAGTGAAACATTTAAGCCAAATCCAACAGTCATCAGCAAAAACTAATTAACCAGTTTTCCGTCTTCCCGCACTTTCTCCCAAACATCTCTCATGTATGCAAAATATCCATTCGGGGGTTGTTCTCCACCCCCTCGCGACTGGGCTTCAGTTACCTTTGCAATGGCGTTCCTTTTTAATTTCTAATTACACGCGCGATATCATTAGCGAAAATCTAAAAGCACATTAAAAACCGCAATAAAGCACATGCAATTCATGTCCACAAATTCTCACCAATCCAATTTTTCCACCTCAACCACAGATTTTCCACTGCACTCTCCATGTGACTGGGAATCACTGTTCCTCCTCTCCCACACCACAGGAACATCATATCAAACATGAGTATTTCATGCTCCGCGTCTTGTTCTCAAGAGACTCGCGCGATTGGAGATTCTCCGGATTATAATTTATGAGTCGATTTCCATGGGTGGATATTTAAAAGTGTCACATGAGTTCTCTTTCGCTTTTCCCCCCATCGGGAACATCGGGAAAATTCATACTGCCAGTGAAATTTTTGTCAAGGGAACACTTTCGATAGACACCAGAGGCACATTACTTCTCCGTGTGAGTTGTGAGGAAGAAAAAGTGCCCAATTTATGGCTTTGAAGTTATTTAAAAGTTAATAAATCCTTGCATGAAAGACTCTAAGATAAATTCTCATCTGCCAGGGATTAGTTGTATGGATGTTTCGGGGGAAGGGAAGCGTGTGTATTGACGAAGTTTTCCTTCAAATTCAGTCACATCTTCGCGCTTTTCGTGCATCGCGAAAACAAATGATTTTCAGCAGGTTTTCCCAATAGTGAGTCACCCCTTGAAATTCCCCACTATTGATTAGTTCGTTTTGTTTGGGGCAATTATTGCTTATTATTGCACCAAATGACGTCAATAAATCTTTCAGTGCTCGTTGGGTGCCGTGAAGGAGAACCCTTTCGTGACTCATGTCACTGTTATATGGCTTAGCCTCTCTCGCGTCCTCCCTCGACGCCACAATTTCTTCCTCAGCGACCCACGGTCTCGAACAATGTAAAATGTGTTACATATAAATAATCATCAGTCGGTGTATTTTAAACGTTGGCGGCGGTGTTGCCAAAAAAAAGGGGGAAAGAGCGCAAAACCGCCAGGCGGATATAATTTTTATCGGTCAACAAAATCTTTCCGAACTATTGCACATTTTGTAATGTTCCAGGGCGGTTGTTTTTTTCTGCCAATTTTTCACTTTCGCCCCCTTCTGGCATTGCCCTATTGTTGGGGATTCAATTAAAATTTTGCCAATGTGAAATTTTCTCCTCACTGCAGCGCCACAACCAGTCACATGGCAGAGAGAGAGAGAGGAAAAAATCGCGCATACTTTGCCAAATAAATTGGAGAAAATTGTGTATGATTATAAATAAAAAGGCTCGGAGGGCATATTCTGCGGAATGTTGCAGAAAACCACCAATTAACAGGTGGAAAATTAAAATTAAATGCACGAAAACAATTAAATATTCGATCTCCGGTGCTTTCCTTCTCATGTCCTCCCATAAATCTCACCCCACTGCATTGCAATTGCAAGGTTTGGGGGCTTATTTTATTCCCCAACTGAGAGAGAGAGACTCCGAACAGCCAAAGCGCTGCAATCACACAAAAATTTCACCCCCGCGAAATGCATTCATTTGCTGGTGAAACTCTCACAAATGCATATTTTTGATGTGCCACGCCGGGGTGCGCGGGGGTGAAAGTCTGCCAAAAATAGCAACATGCAACGGAATAGATCAATTCGATGAGATAAAAGTCGTGAAAAAGTTTTCAACATGTTTTCGCTTGCAATAAAATATCTCCCAAACTCTTTTCCGAAAAACCCACCCGCGCGCCTCCCACTTTAAGGGGTTGCGAGGGGAGTTGGTGGAAGTTTTTGGTAGGAATTTAAATTTAAATTTTCCGGTGGAACATGATCGGCTTTTTGAGCACTAAAAATTGAAATATTAGATTTTATGACGTCAAGAAAGGGAAAATCGATAGGATTTTCCTTTGCCATTCAACTTTCAAGGATAGACTGAACGTCATAATGTTGGCAAAAGACGTTTTCTTAAGGTTTCTCGACAATTGTGAATAGCGTGAAATGCAGATGAAACATTATGAAGATTTTATGCATGATTTCATGTCAGAATTTGTTGAGAAAGAAGTGAAGAGTTTGTGCGGATTTGAGTGACAAGATTATACAGAAAAAAGTCATTCTTTTATTACCCTAATTTTCCGTCGACAAAGCGTCAATTGATCCCACAGAAATCCTCCCGGATAATCATGTGTGGAAAAGATCACACTTGCTTCTTGCGGGTGAAATCAGACGTGGAAAATCCACCCAATCATCCCATTGAGAAATCTCACTGCTGACATTGAATTTTCCGCAGCATAAAATGTGATTGACAAGACAACCCCCGAGAGAAGTGACTTGAAATGCTATGCCAAAGAAAAAAACATCCCCTAATAATCTCTTCATCGTAACAAATCGAATCTTGTGCTGTCGAGAAGGGGGAAAAAAAGCGCCCGAGAGACGGGAAAAAAAGACACCACAATGTCAATCCCCAAGAAAGTTCCCAAGACAAGTGGGGGTGAATGGGAGAAAAAACACCAATCAACCCCCATATAATCGCTTGTTGATTCAACCCCTGAAATACCAATATTCCACCCACTCCAGCATTGAGACTGTTTTGAGAGTTTTCGCCTCAAGGAGCGTGCGACCCTTGACTTTCTTCGGCAGAGCCACCCTCGTGTGTCCATTGTGTGAACACCCCTCGGGGCGGGAGGGGCTTTTTTCCCACCCGGGCGCTCCTTGAGGAGCTGTGCTGTTTGAATATTCAAATCAGATCCCGATCATTTCGCCACGATTGCCTCTCAATCGACCATAACTTGGGGGTGGCATTGTCAATCTCCCCTCTCGAGCTGTGTGCTTTTTTATCCCCGTGTTGTCTCAGACAACACAGCGCGATGGTTTATCTGTTGTTGAAGCACCGCGGGCGGAGAAATGGGGCGCACGGCGTGTACAAATTAAGCCCTAACGGGCAAGACACTGCAGGTATGACTGGGTCTTTCGTGATAATTGCAAGTGACTCGATGATGCACAAAAGTTTCCCTCTCGCGATGACACAAAAGCATGATTCTTGGCCATTTTCCTCCCTGTAAATTGCCCGCTAAACCGATAAAAGTGATAAGTAGTCGCGTTTCGCGGGACGAATTACCATGAACGAGCGCACCCTGGAAGCCTCAACCGCTGCAGCGCGGCTTCGGTGGAATGGCGTGCAGATACCATCAACACTGCGGCGCATAATCTAGAGTTGAAAGTGTCAAAAACACAAACTATTCCACGGCGAGGCATTAAGGGGTGGTGCGCCGTCGAAACCCCTCTTATGCACTCTCGGGGCGATTTATTGCAAATGGCTCTCGCCTGAATAGCAAGACGCCGTGCGGCGATCGTGGGGATGCAGAGGGTGTGCGGAATGCCCGGATTGATTTCTTCCCTTGCGGCACTTTTTGAGGACGAACTTGAATACAAATGAAGGCAGCGCTGCCCAACCCTGTGCACTGTCACAGAGCTCTCCCTTTGAGGAATGGGAATCAAAGAAACGCGATATATGTCGTGTTGTTCATACTTTACGATTTAACAAATTGCGAAATATGTTCTTCTGGAGGCGTGTGCGCCCCCCACGCACCGCTAGCGGGGTTGGGGGTGGAAATTTATGCTTTTGTCACCTGAATTGCAATTTATTAGTGCGCCACTCGGAGGACTTTTCCCAGGGTGAAATTTCCAATTCGTCAGACGCTCGTCGGTGGCCTCGCGGGGAAACCAAACTCATATCAACGGTTTTTTCATATTTTTCTGCTCAATTCTCGACTCTAATGAGAGTATTTTGCTGTACAAGATCTAATTTGGTAGGAAATATGCTATTTGCGGGTCGATACGATATGAAAAGACACTTTGCAGCGGTTTAGCGGAATTCTCAGAGTGATTTGTCACTCGGACAGACAGTTCGATGGAGGCGCCTGGTCGCAGCCAAAGACGACAAGAATTGGCTTCTTCAGGCGTCAATTGAGTACATTGTACGGCGAGTGGGTCTCAGTCAGGCGTGCCCATTGAATTGATTGTTTGAGAAAATTTGTGTGTAATTTAATTAGAAGAGGCTCTGTTGTTTGCTCAGCGCTCGCATCACCGCGGCCGATCGCGGAGATTTCACACAGGCGCGCTTATTTATCTGCGAGCCATAAACTCACCTCTTTGTCTTTGGCGGCCAGGTCTTCGGCGAGCGTCCTCCCACCGCCGCTGGTGGTGCTGTGGTTGCTGTCCGTGGACACGGGCAGGCTGGGTGTCGCCGGCTGGCCCTCCGGCTTATCACACGGCCCGGGCGTCGTCCGGCTGGCCGCCTGGTCCGCGCTCGGCTCCATCTTCACCTCCCCGGTGAGCTCAAGCTCCGACTTCACGTTCAATTTGCTACTTAAGTTAGTTACGCTCCCGCTCTCCGACAGGGTCGGACTGGATGACTGCGGCGCGATCGCGCCGTTCTGCGTGATCGCCTTTCCCGGCGACGAGGATGACAGTTGCTCCTTCAGGGTGTTCACTTCCTTCTCGGCCAGTGTTGCTCTCTGCAAGAGACATTGCATGATCACTAATCGCACGGCGTAAACAACTTTAAGTGGATTGAGTAGCCGAAATTTATGGTCCATTCTTGCTCACTATATCACAGTTTGGTGAAAGACAACAAGAACCCAGTGAAGGTTGCGCCTGAATAATTTTGATTCGTAAAATTTGGTCGTAAAATCTATTTTTGTCATTCTCCCGAAAAAACACATGAAATTCCTCTGTGAAAATGCACGAAATCACTGAGTTTGGGGGCGAGAGAGAGAGAGAGAGAGAGAGCGCGCGAGAGCCGTAAAAAAGTCAAGCGTGATGTTGAAAAACAGTGGAAAATAGCAACATGATCCTCATAGGAAATAATGATCTTCGCACTCATTCCACTTGAGGTCAATGAATAATGAATTTTAATGATGTGCCATAGAGAATCCCTCTTCGACAAACACTCTGCGCGGCCACTTTTCCTCGCGGGATGAATCATCCGCGGTGATCGCGACTGTGTTTCGCGCGCCAGGAGAAAAGAGGCCTCATAAATGATTAACAAATGCTACATTTTCCCAAATGTGTCATGCATTATTACTCACACGCAATGATCAATATTAATAGTGGAATGATTGTGTGCCTAATGATCCCATCCGCGATCGGCTTTGGAACACCATTAATATTCCAATTTGAAATGCATGTGTACAGAGCGAGGCTCGTCACCATGTGATCGTGCAGAGAACGCCCACGCGGCCCGCTTATGGGGACGCAAAACAATGATACCCGATCGAATGGGATAAATCGTCATGAGAAAATATTCTTCGGAATTATGTTCCTCGTGTTTGGCGAGAGAGTGAGTGCTTTAACACACTTACGGCTCTCCTATACTCTCAATGCTCGCCTCGGAGATGAATGAGCAGTTGTGTATGTTGCCTATTCAATTCAATATGGCGTCTTGAATTACATAATCATAAATCACAAAAGATCGTATTATTCAAATGAGCTTCTCTCTGTCTCTCCCTCGACAATGCGCAAGCGATTGCGCGCCGCGAGAGAGCCTGTCCTCCTTTGGCTTCACTGGCGCGGCTCCTGAATGGCATCTCGTGTCAGAATCTCCAGAATCCCCGCTTTTCAAAGGGACTTCCGTTCGCCTATTGCTCAGTCGCATTGATCCCCATATTCAATTATTTCCCTATTCAATTAATATTTATTATTTGCCATTATTTCTCCATCTCCTTCGTGCCATGGCTCTTTTTTTTTCAACATCACCTCACACAATGATCATGATTCCCCATTCAGCCAACAATTCAAGACACTGTGGCGTTTGTACAAAATAGACAATAATTCTCCATCAGTAGCAATCGAATGTTGGCGGATTTTGTAAAGTATCACATTTAATAGCGGTAGTAGTTTGAAAAGAACGTATAAAAAATGCGATCACCATTGCGTGTAAACCACTTCTTCCTCTCTCAGGCCCCCCAGGCGTCCCTCTCTCGCATCGCCAGAGTCGTAGATTTTCTATGTGGAAAAAAAAATTGTACGCCACAAGCCTTTTCCCCCCGCGCGCCCCGCGATCTGTCGCTGGTAACAATAAATAATGGTGTAAAAAAGAACGAGATCAACACAAAAGACATGGCAAATAAAATATAATGAAAATCGGTGCAATTCAATATTAATACTGGGCACAAAAGAGCTCAAAAGATATCTTATCCAACAATCTCGTTCTGCTCGTGTACAATTTAATACACCATTATTTTTAGATTACTCAAATATTTGTCAATACACTATGGGAATAATTGTTGTGTGTTGGGAGAGAAGTTGCTTGCCTTTCTGATCGCATCGCGCAAGGCTGCAGAGCTTTTGTGTCATTCAATACATCCACTTGTTGAATAAAGGGATGAGGAATTGCAGCGACAACAATTGCGATGAATTCATTTCGCCTCACGATCGAGCATCAATAAATCCCGCAACACTGCAAATTGCTCAATTAATATCGGCCTCTTGCAATCGAACACCCGAAGATCGCGCCAGATCACTCAGTGCGATTGTAAAGTGTGTCTCGGCCCACCCTCTTGCGATCCAAATGCCAGAATTTTACGATCTTCGGCTGAAAAGACAGTTTCAGATCGAACTGAGCAGCTGCTTTCGCGATCATTCGCGATCGCGCTGGCCTTTGGAATGCCGTCTTAATGGTCGTGGTGTTTGAATTTAATTTATTGTTTATATGGCTACAATTTTACCACTCATTCCAATCAATCAAATTGCCCATTTACATCCATCTGAGTAAAAGTTCTCTGACTTCGTGGCACGATCGCATGAAGATTGGCGGAAATGATGTGCAATCGACTCGATCATATGATTCTCATTGAACGGTATCTCAAATACGCCATGAAAGTGGCGGAAGAAGTGTTCTTCTGATACAAATCAAAGTCTTACGTTTGCGTGTTTAAACAATCCATCCTCGCGGCCTAATGGAAAAACTCATACCCTGGAAATGGGATGAAATCCAGAGATCTGCGCAAAATAGCGCAGCTACGCAACTTCTCATCTTAGTTACACTTTGCAAAATCCCTTTTCATCAACAAAATCAATTCCAGTGTGATAATTGTGGGGGAAAATATTTTGAAAAGACTCTTTGATCAGTACAAAATTTAATTTCACCCACTGAATTAATAATTATCTGCTATTTTGAGGACCTTTTATTGACCAAATGCTGCAGCCGAGGGATTTGTTTTGGCGCCGCGTCAAACGCTCCCGGCGCAACACTCCCAAATCCCTCTTCGGCAGCATCATTTTTCGAGTTTCACGCTTGCTGACTCATTCGAGATTTTGATTAAGCAAAAACCTTCAAATTAGTCGTCTATAAGTCTAAAATCGATGGCGCGCGGGGGCGATATTTGGGCCGAAAGCTCTTTCACGATGGAGAAAAGGTGGGAGACGAGAGATTGATACACGGGCGCTTTTTCCCAAAGTCCTCTTATCTCGAGAACGGGCCTCCCGCCACTCGGCGTGGTATTTCTCATCGACGTGAAAGTATAAAATCGAAAGGGGTATATAGATAGCTTTTAGTTAATTAACAGATGAGGGTGGATGGTCGTATTTGGCGGAGGGAATCGAGGATATTCTTCTCTTCGGCTAAATTGACATGAATTGGAGTTGGGCGAGTGGTTGGGGGGCACAATTCGAAAATGCCTTTATTATTTTGGCCCATTAAGTTTCTGAATAGATTGGTTCTTTCTCGCCCAGAAGCTCGCACCCTTCTTTTGACACACACCCAGCGCGCCTCTGGGAGTGGGTTTTTCTAAGACGACACAGACAATCGTGTATGACATTCTCAGCAGAGAAGGCCGAGGGTTTGGGGCTCCAGGGATGGCGAAAAGGGGATAAAATACTACACCCTCGAGGCGTCGTGCCCCAAATGTGCTCCGGGATGTACATTTTCCATGCAGAGACAAAAAGATATGGTGGCACTGAAAGGGTTGGCGAAAGGGGGCTGGGCGAGTGGTATCTGACTCTTCTGCGCCTGAAATCCTCAATAAAATGGTGAGCATTTTCAAGGGGTTGTCATTGACATTAATTCTATTTGTGTTTAATTAAAAGTTTTCGATTTTTGTCACAAATGGCGAATCTGTTTGATCTCTCATCCTTTTTCTGGCTAAACCAGCAACAGCAGCAGTGGCAAGAAAATGTCCCCAGAATGTGGCACAATGGCCGTTGAGACGAAGAGAGTGAGTTTGATTTAAATGGAATTTTTAATAGTTAATTCCATCATCATTTTTACCATTTGATGAAATAATAAATGAACGAGATGACGGTGGAAATAAAAGACCAGAAGCTGGCTTCCTTTCAGATTCAATCATAGACCCTATTTGAATATTAAAATAATGTCTTTTGTGTGTGGCTTTTTTCCTCGACAGGCATTTCAACAAAAAGCCTCCGTGACATTCTCCATAGATCGCGGCTGTTGAGACTTGAAGAAAATGGGGAGAAAAGACACCGTGGAGGCCAATCGTTTGATTTAATATTGATACGATATTTTTATTCATTCTCCCTGGGCATTGTTGTGCCCAGGGAATTATTTGTTAAACACACACACACACAACACAACTTTGGACAAGATGTTGAAGACGAATGGAGGCGATTTTTTTGTCATGTCCCTCCGAATGGTTGTGTTTTATTTATTAAATTTGATGAATGGGAGATGAACGCGCAGAGAGGAGAAAAAATTGAGAACTCGTAGAGTAAGAATAAAGTCCGGAAATTGAAATATTATATTGAATTGAATTACAAAAACCCCCAAAAGCAACTCGTTGAATTGGATCCCATTGAGGCGCGTTTTTGGTTGTGCGCTATTGAAGAGACTCACCGAGTGAAATTTATGATTCATTTTCTGATATAATACATTTATAATCCTATAAGTTGGAGATTAAACAGTCTGCAGAGCGCAGTGGTGTTTGTATTTTTATCAAACGACGATGCGAATTGATATCCTCGCCCATGAAAAATCATCAATTTTTGTGGCAAAGAATTCAGGCAAACTTGAGGAGGCGCGCAAGCCTTATGCTAAATTTAATTTGACTTTATCAGAATCAAATTGCCAGTTAATCAAGCAACCTTCCTCTGCCCATCCCTCAAATATCCCAATGGTAATTTTGAGTGCGGGGTGCGCAGAAGAAAAGGAGACGTGCAGCAATGAAGAAAAACAATAAGGCGGAATACTAAGCAGAAGACCACAAAATAGAAGCCACAAGACAATCTCTCTGAATACACTTTGGGTAAAAGCCTTCCCCCCAATGGAAGCTCATCCACAAGAGGGAGTGGAAATTCCACATCACCTCCCCCGATAAATTGTCTCTCTTGTGTGGCTGTTGTTGTTGTCAAACATCGAAAATCCAAATTAAATCGATCCGGAAGCAAATATTACGGCTTCGCTGGAATATCAACCGCCCCAACCCGCCTTGGTAAACAATAAATAAATGTATTTGTGGAGGTATATAGGGAGGGATGGATTTGGTGTGGGACGAGGGAT